CATTGCACTTCTCCTTCCCCCTCCTCCCTAGGTTTCTATTTGTTCTCTTTGGGCCATTCCCCAATAGAAGAAGTTGATGGGACCATGTAGGTGTACATGACATGTAGATTGTGAAGGAAGCCCACCTCACTTCTTCCAAGGGAAGTTATGGCTGCAATTCCATAACACAGAGGTAGACAAAGTGAGGCACATGGGCTTCATGTGACCTGCCTACCAACCCCTCCCTCAGGTCTCCTAATGACCAAAACAGCAAAAGCTTCTCTTTCACCAGAGATGCAGTTAGAGTACAGGCTTACTCAACCCATATTCTTCTGCCTGTACCTCTATTCAAATGCTTTAAATTGCAAAAGTAACATCATTGTTTGATTGCAGGTAACCTATAGCTTGCCATAAGGGGAAAGCAGCAATATCCTTGTTTCTTAAATGGGTGCTTTAAAAACTGCAATGTAAATGATTGTGATTACATTTGTACTATTCTTTGGCCAGAAAGTCCTATGGCTAATTACTTCCTCTTTCTGTTACAAAGCGATGAAACTGTTAGTTCAATATCTATTTTTTTTTTCAGAATTTTCTATTTTTGTTGTTTTTAAATGGCATTAGGATGTGTTCTGTTCTTACTATTTAAAAATTAAATCATACCGAAAAAGAGTTGTTTGCATTGATTTCCAAGTATGACACAATGTTTTTAATAAAACATTTTGCTGACTTTGTGTGTGTGTGTGTGTGTGAGAGTGAGTGTGAGTGTGAGTGTGAGAAGGGGAGTGACATTGCTGTTTTTGATCATAACTTAGGAAAACATTTTGGCTTTGAAAATGTTTTGTAATAAATACAATGGGCTGCATACCCATGGGCAACCATAGTTTTTTAGACACTTCTGTTGTGCATAGCTAAAATCACACAGTTTACAAATGATGAATAGATTCTTTCTTAATGTTATAGCTTTCAGAAAGAATTATTTGTGGCAGAAGCACATGGGTTCTTACATGAAAATAAAGTAATGTAACCGATGTTATAGCTTTCAGAAAGAATTATTTGTGGCAGAAGCACATGCGTTCTACATGAAAAGAAAGTACTGTAACCACCACCCCCCATGATTACAGCTGTAGTACATCCTCATTTTTCTTGGGAGTAAGTACCATTAAAATTAATTGGGACATAATTCTGAGAAGATGCATATGCAATATTACTGTTACCGGACACATTGTAATTCAAAATTCAAAAATTTGAATTCTACAAGTCAACTCCTCCATGTTCCATTGATTAAAATGGGCCTACTCTAACTGTGACTACCAGAGTGGTCTGGTAGTCCAGATAGGTGATAAATCAATCAATCAATCAATCAATCAATCAATCAATCAATCAATCAATCAATCAATCAATCAAAGAAAGAAAGAAAGAAAGAAAGAAAGAAAGAAAGAAAGAAAGAAAGAAAGAAAGAAAGAAAGAAAGAAAGAAAGAAAGAAAGTCAAAACTAGAATAGGCCCGATGGAACTTATGGAGGATATTCACCAAATCCCCACTGATTCAATGAGCTGTCTGTAGTATGATTTACAACAATAGAAAGAAACAAACAAACAAATAAATAAATAAAGTCAAAACTAGAATAGGCCCGATGGACCTTATGGAGGATATTCACCAAATCCCCGCTGATTCAATGAGTTGTCTGTAGTATGATTTACAACACTAAAAACAAGATTTTGGCTGTTAAAGCCTACAACCTCCTAGTTTAAAAAAATCACACAGAGAAAAAAAATGATTGAAAATTGACAAACAAACAAATAAATAAATAAAGTCAAAACTAGAATAGGCCCGATGGACCTTATGGAGGATATTCACCAAATCCCCGCTGATTCAATGAGTTGTCTGTAGTATGATTTACAACACTAAAAACAAGATTTTGGCTGTTAAAGCCTACAACCTCCTAGTTTAAAAAAATCACACAGAGAAAAAAAATGATTGAAAATTGAAGTACCTTGTGGAAACAGCAGGTATTCAGCAGAAAGGTTAATACTATTGTTACAAAGAGAACCTGTGAACTGACCCTGTGAATAGAATAGTAAAATCTGAAAACCATGGGAAAAATGAAGACAAGACAAAGTGTTTGTCAGAAAGACAACTCTAGCTATGAAACAGTAAAGCACAGAGGAATAACATCCCTAGTCAAAATTACTGTCAGCCACTTATTACTAATATGGTGGTGAATAAATGTGTTCTTTCTTCTTTGGGCTTTGGATAGGTCACAACAGCTTTTCCCCTCCTTCCTCTACTTTTCCTATTTTCTTTTGGTCATCCACTACAAAGAAATGCCAGTTGATCTTGTAGTCTGATACGTAGAAGAACTAAGTATTTTTCAGTTCAGATCAAGCTGCTCTGTAGTGTGGCTCCAACAGAGACCATAGCCTTTTGTTTTCCCTGTTTGTAGTAAAAACAAAAATAAACCACTGATCAAGAAAAGCACAAATGCCTGCATGACCCAAGAACAAATTGGTTCAAGCCATTTCCAAAACAGTTGGGAGCAGGGGGTCTCAATCTGCATGATGAATTGTTGAATACAGATCAGGATGGGAGATAACTCACTCCCCCACACTATTTTCAGTTTGTTTCCAAAGCATTCTTTCTCTCTCAGAAATCCGTCATCAACTGCATAGAAATTTTCACTTGTCATGACTTAAAACAACTCTGTTCATCACAAGTACAACCTGATTGGTAGAAATATGAAGATATATAACTCCATGACAAGGCATGCATTTTGCATGTAGAACGTCTGAGAATCAGTTATCCACATATCAGTTCATAAAGACCCCAGATAACAGAGGAGCATGGCCCCAGTCACTGAAAATTAAATTTGCTACTGGCATAGCCAATGGTCTCTAATTCAATATTTGATACCTTCATATATTCATGTTTCAGGGTCTGTATGCAAAATGGCAGCACCACAGGATGCTGGCTGAAAACTCACTGTGCTCAGGGTGAGAAAACATTTGAGTTTTCTTTGTGAGTTGATTTTAAAGCCAAGGCAACCCTTATCTGCCCACTGCCAGTTGGCACCAGGGTTCATTGTCTCAGGGCAAAAGTGCTTTTTTTTGCATGTCGCGTCTGCACAACTTGGACACACTCTAAGCCAGGACTGAGTGAAAGGGATCTGGCAGATGGTGCAGGTTGCAGGGACTGGGTTTCATCCATTGAGACTCATGGGATTTCTTTTGCACCACCTTGGACACACTCTAAGCCAGGACTGAGTGGAAGGGATCTGGCAGATGGTGCAGATTGCAGGGACTGGGCTTCATCTATTGAGACTCATGGGAC